GCCGGGCGCAGCCGGCCAGCAACGCCGGTGGGCGGGAGCGAGGCGCCCCCGCCCTCCGCCTGCCAGCCTCACCGGTCTGGGGCCCCCCAGCTCCCCGGCCAGGCATCCTCTGGTTCAGTAAGTCACAAGGGCTGCCACAGCGCCCGCCAGGGAGGGCCCCCAGGGCGTGGCAAACCCCTCCCGTCTCCCCGCTGCGCCCTCGGCAGTGTGTTTCAGGGGACCTGCCTGCTCTGTCCCCACTCTGGGGAGTCCTCTCATCCCCCCACCTCAGGCCTGCACCCCAGCTCTTGTGTGCATCAGTACAGAGGTCTTCAAAAACATAAACTCAGCGCCGACAACCCCCAGGCACCGTCACCCGCCCCACCCTCCTCGGATGCAGCTGAGGCCAGTTTGGGGGTGGGGGTAGGGACCGAGCCCCCCGGCCCTCCGCGAAGGGCCTGGGGCAAATGAGGGGCGTGATGTCAGGGTGTGGAAACATTTTTAATGGAAAACCAACTCGCGGGAGGCCAGCTCCAGCCCAGGCCTCGGCCCGGCCGGGCGAGCCCGGGCTCCGGCGGTCAGCTGCAGATGGACGGCTGGCGGGCGTTGTAGCTGGGGTGGAAGTTGAGCCGGTCGTAGCGGGTGACGCGGTTGCCGGGCCCGGTCACCGAGCTCTTGTCCATGCAGACGTTGAGTGAGTTGCTCTGGAACATGCCCCCGGCGGCCAGCTGCCTGGAGAACTTGCTCGAACTGGGGTAGAAGACTTTCTGCGAGGGCGAGACGGGGCGGAGGCGGACCGAGGCGGGCCGCGGGTGCTTTTGGAAGAGGAGCAGGAGTGGGGGGAGCCGGCATCCCGCTCCCAGGGAGCACGCGGCCCAGGGCGCCTCCCATGCCCCGCAGTGGGCAGCCAGCCCCACCGCTGGCCCCGGGCCTGAGGGGCCGTGTTCTGCAGTGACCAGCTGGCCCGCGGCGCCGCTGCCAGCTCTGAGCCTCGTCCCCTCTGTGCAGACTCAGCTCTCAGTCCTGCCCGGACCGCACAACCGGAGGGCCGTGTCCACCCCTGCGCCCAGGGCCTGGGCGAGGCTGCGGGGGCAGGGTGAGGCCCTCAGGCGTGACCACCGGGGAGTGACATCTCCGTGTCCGACTCCCGGGCGTGGGGGCTGGGCCTCTACGGATGTTCGGGCCTGGATGGGTGCCTGGCCCCCACCCCGGCCGGGCCCCCACCCCGCCAGCCCACAGGGGCCACTGCGTGGGCGCCTGGGTGGGCGCCAGGAACAGGGCACCCGCGCCTCTTGAATGCAGCCCGGAGAGCAGTTATGTCCCACAGGGAAAGCAGGCTGGCACCAGCGGCCTCCCAGCACGGACACCGGGCAGTTCCCGGGGGCCAGCCCCGGAAGCCAGGTGCTGGCCGGGCAGGACAGGGAGGGCTGCAAGCCCGGGGCTCCCGCAGTGCGGTGTCCTGCTGCTCATCCCTGGGGGGCTCGGACGGCTGCTGACCAGGGGTGGCCACACCAGGGACCGCCTCCAGGCAGGCAGGCAGGCGGGGGCAGCGGGGCCAGCGGGGGGCCCCTGGGCTTCAGCTGCTGCCTGGCACACCCCTGTGCCCCCTTCCCGGCGCCTCCGCGCGGTCCTGGGTGAGCGCGGGCACGCGGCCCCGTGCGGCGGGCTGTGGCCATCATAGGGACACTGGGTCCTCGGGGAGCTGGAGGTCGCCTGCTCCGGTGAGGGGCCCTCCGGGCAGCAGCCTCCTCCCGAGAGCCCTGTCCCCGCAGGCTCTGAGAGCGCTGGCCGGTCCTCCGGCACCCCGTCTGCTTGCAAAGAGAAAG